CCCCAAAACCCCAAAACCCCAAAACCCCAAAACCCCAAAACCCCAGACCTACTTTCTCACATTGAGAATTGGTAATATATAGTTAACTTATCTTATTTTAGATCATAAATGTTTCAAATTGAGTGGCTGGATCAAATCTATTGCAAAATTAATCTTTTAGAAGATAAATTATCAATGGTTTCTGCTTATTTGAGATGCTCATGTTGCATTTGCCACACTGAGGTAGAGATTTCGAGATATTTTGTTTCAATAGCAGGTTAGAGGAGATATTAAATCTGATAGATATTTTAAAGCTTTTAAATATCAGGAGTTTATTATTCAAGGATTACGCTAATAGATGAGTAAGTTAGATAATCACATAGTTTAAAGTTCGCTACTATTCAATAAGTAAGACATTATCGTCTTCCCTTCATTTGATCAAACATACCTAATCCTAAAATTTTAACACAATTCAAACTTCTCAAAAATCTGCCCTAACTGTTATAACAAGGTGTCAAATTCAATTCCTACCTCAAATTCTTTATAATATCATTCCTAACCTTTTATCTAACCCTAAAAATAGGCGATTTTCTAAAACTCACTCTTCACTCAATCCTTACTCTCAAAATAGGTAAAACCTCTAATTTTGATTCCTTACAAATCCCTATACTTCAAATTAATTTTACCTTCTGTTTCACAAACTTCCCTAAATATACATAATTTCAGCTGGCGATTGCAGTTTGGCTGATATTTTGGCCAAAAGATCTTCCACTTTGAGATTCCAGTTTTTGAATTTAGCCTATTAGATTTAAATTAACACTCTTATGCGCTTGTTTTGGTAGCTTGAATGCCAAGAATGAGGGAAAGGATAGCAGTAAGATAGTTTTAGAGACTATTTTCGGATTTCATAAGCTGAATTGAGCTTGATAACACCTCTTCACTCGGGAGACAAGGTCTTCCTTGGGTTGAAATGGCTGTATGACAGTATAATGACGCGATTTAGAGAACTTGGTGCTGTTTTACCTTCTTAAATCTCTAAACCAGCTTTACATTTGGTGACTATCCAGGAAGTGAGAAATGTAATTAGATCAGTTAATTTTTAAAATTTCATTTAAATTTTACGTCATAGCTCTTTGAACTCTCCTTGTCTCAGATGTGAAAAGCTGAAGGGAAAAAGTAGTTAGCTATAGCCATTTCGGCTTGAAAAATGCCAAAACAGTAAATAGAGTGTTTCGTCACTAAAACTGATGTGCTTTAGACTCATTTTGGAAAATATTATAATTTTGTTGTCAAGACGACGATTTTAGAAGAAGGCTTCCAGAAAGATTGAGTTAGCATGTTAAAGTTATTCATTTTGAGGGGTCAAATTTGGCTGGTCATCTTCGGAAAGCAAAATGCACACTTCTTCCAAAATATGGTTAGAGGCTGGACAATTTTTGGAGAGCAATTTCACCCAAGCCTATTTTTGGCTGTTTGCTTGGGTTTTAAGACAAAGTGTGCAGCCAGGAGAGAGATAAATGCTCAAACTTCAGCTGGGCTATGTCCTATAGCTTTGTATTGCCCTCACAGAAAATATTTACTCATCTTCAAAATCACCTCAACAGCTGTATTTCTTGGCCAAAATGTTAGTTAACAGGAGGAAGATTTTTCGAGAATTTTTATGAAAATCTGAGAAATTAATTTATACCTCTGAAAGTGCTGGACTACATTTCAGAAATCCCCTAAGGTAGTCCCTGCCTCTGTTAGCCTCTCTTCTGATTCTACAAGAGCTCTAGTGGTTCTCTTATTTCCCCTTTTCCGAGTATTTTGCTTTCCAGTCCGAAGTTTACATGGAATTTACAGTCAAATATTATTAAAATTCTTCTCTTTTCCTGAAGATATTGATAAAGCTAGAGAATCTCTTTTTGAAAAATTCAGCTACAAAGAGATACAGTGAGAGAATGAGATGGCACCAATCTGTGTTAGCTGTATTTCCGTGTTCTAGAACTTTTCAAAATCTTAGAAAGAGCGAGCACATATCAGTATTTTGTAAAAAGATATCAGTCTTGACGAATTTCTAACGATTTGAAGTCTCCTCAGACTTTAAAGAAAGTGGTGTGAGGTGAGAGAAGGTGCATGTCACGCCTCTGAAGTTATTTAGCTACACGAACGTGAAGTGCAAAGTTGCTTCCACTAACTCTCTTTCTGATTGTCTTGCTGAAGGAGATCTCTTATTTACAGTAATTTTTACTACCATTTGGACTGAGAGAAGCTCAAAAATTGGTTAGCATAAAGCAGAGAGTTCGTTCAATAGTTCTGAAATCCAACCACTTTTTGACTAGATTCACTCTAAATTGATTATGTAGAGAGAATTCTGGCTAGAGTTGAAATATGAGAAGATTTCTTTGCATACATACAGTTTACAAAAAATAGCATCTCAACCCCTTTGGATGTACTGATTTGCTTCATCAATGAATCTAAATAATAGAAAATAATGTCAGAAGAATTGATGAAAATCCTTTTCTCATGAGATACAAAGCATAGATACTCATATTAAGAGCCTAAAGAACTTCAGAGTTCTCCGTTTGTAATCTCTAAGCTCTAGAATTGGTTGTGAAGAAGAAGTCCAATTACTCATCTCAAAGTGTAAATTTAGAGTACTTTTGAGCCTATTTCAATTGTTGTACTAATTTTGTTCATAGAGTTTTGATCGAACGGGATAATGATAAAGAAATGGAAGCTATGCTGGCATTTCTGCATTACTCATTAATTGATAATAGCTTTAGCTTTGGTCTCTCAAAACTTCATTTTTGTTGGATTTCATAAAATTAGAATTCATTTGACGAAATATGATTGGTTCTTTGCCAGAAACTGTACATTTATCTGAGAATTTAGACATTTATACTCTATGTCTCACTCAATTGGATAAATGAAATCAGCCAGATTCAGTGCTTTAGGGAGTTCCTTTAGCAAAATGTAATCATTATTAGTGCTTTCCAAGACTCTTGTGGCTAGATTTGAGGAAATTCGTGTATTTTTCCTAAATTAACAACTAACCAAATTTTGCCCACAGTGTATTTTTACTGTATTTTGAATTTGTTTTGACTATTTATCTTGATAAAATTTGACTTAAAAAATCAAGGTCGCATTCAAGCTAATTTTCCTAAGATTTGCTAAAAAGGTAGGTGCCAATGTTTTCCTCGGCTCACCGGTATTTGGAAAATCGTCATGGAGCTCTGTAATAGCTTCAAAATTAATTTCTATGAATTTTTTATGATAAAATAACACTCAAAATAGATGTTCGGTATTTTCTGAAACAAAGAAAGAATTCCTTCCAAAAATCCGGGTTGTCAGGCTAATTTGCACAAGTACTCAAAATTCCTCAAAGAAGCACAACCTTAAAAAATGTTTGAAACCCACCAAAAAATAAAAAAGTACAACAATCTGAGTATAAAATCCCTCTTAGAACTCAAAAAACTGCTCAAAATCCTTCTAAACCTTCATCCTGATTCAGTTTGCCCTTCCTTCTCTCTTCCCTCTTCCACGATTACACCCCTTTTCTCATTTAAACCCTTCCTAATTCCTTTTGATCATACTATTTCATGCAAATTTGGTATTCCTTCTATGTGTGGAGATGGTCTGGGGTTTTGGGGTTTTGGGGTTTTGGGGTTTTGGGGTTTTGGGG